GAAACAAAAATGAATACGGGCACTCCGAAATAGTCGCATACATTCCGCCATATAAGTTACTTGATGTCCAATTTTGGATGCTTCAAACAGGTGGAATAGTAGCGTTGTTTAATCCAGACTGCTATACGCTGTCCAGGCGTTCAATGGACGCAAAATTGTGAACTTCAAAAGGTTATAACTTTTAAACTAAGTCTGATCGACACATTTCTCATTATATAACATTATTTTTTAATTCGCTGAAATACAATCGCTTACAAAAAAAATTTTCAACGATCACTCGGCAGAGTTAAACTGAACATTTATGTCCCGAAAAATATGCATTATTAATATCAAAAAAAATTTAGTACGATGTTAAATTGTGAAAATATGCTCCAAAAACTAGTTAATGTCGAAGTAAAGAAAAATCCATCGTTAACTATACCACGGTAGATTATAGTCGATAATCCACCGCTACCTTGGTAACTACTAACTAGATACCTAATAAAAAGTTTTACATTTTTGTTCACAATAGGTAGTAGGTACTTAGATACTTGTAGATATTCGGTTTGGTTTTTATTTACAATAGGGCCCGAGATCCAAAATTTCAATAAAGTAAGTACCTAACTAACCTTACACTTTCAAGAATTCTCGATTTCTTTAAATATTACCGCCATGATAATGAATCTTGCTTGTTTTGTGATAAATGTTCCTATCACCATGGTTGTAGATATGAGTTTCCATACCAACCACGGCCTAAAAGCTACAACGTGTGTCTCGACGCTTTTATAAAATCGCATTGTGATTGGACGTTAATTTGTTGGTGTCTTGTCATAACCAATTTGCAACCAAATATACCAAAAATTGACTACAACTCAACTTTTAAACCATATTGGTTACCAGTTATAACCATATACTCGGAGCTACCGCACCATCACACGACACGACCCATGACGTAGCTGTGAATCCGACTTAATAAGGGAGGTTCACAACTCACCGTGTGGTGCTGTGTTCCGTATATTTAATACATGGTTAACAAAATTTTGGTCACACATTACCTTCAGGTTGACTATACTCAACCCTACCGGACAAAGCGAGCATTAAGGCTTTAGCACTTAGGTACCTATGTAGGTATCTACTTCTAGTACAAAAATCCATGATTTCGAACAATATACAAGGAAGAGTATAAACCGCAGAGGCTTAAAACCTACGTTAAATTGTACACAAAAACTGAAAATTGAGTAGGCAGTTTGAAAAGCTCAAAGTTAAAAAATATGATTGGTAGATCTATAATCCATTTGTCGAACACGATTCGTGTGGTTTTCATGTTTACGTATAAAACAGTCCGAACTACCCGGCGAATACCTATCTAGTGTGTGACCAGCTTAGCTAAAGAAAACCCACAAAGATAATTGATAGAAAACGGAAAGGTCATTTTTGGCGGAAACCGGAGACACCCGTCGAGTCCTAGATAATATTTTACCTTTAAATTTAATCAATCAATCGAGTGTCATTAGTGGATGACTTCTCACGTCAAACGTATCATGTTGTAAATTACTCTAACCATATAAACTTATTGTGCCCCTAAGGTATAGATTGTTTATCTCAAATAAAGAAAAAAAAAAAAAAACCTTTAAATTTTATAACAAGTCTGCAATTCACTCAAAATTCTTTCAACATTAAAACATTTAAAACTAATAGTAGATTATTGAAACTAGTGAAAGAAAATTTGTAAATTTTTTTTTTAATGCCGTACGTGTTTAAATCGGTGACAACTCATGCGGATGTTGCATCCATTGAACTTGGAATTTACTAAAAAAAAATACAAGGACTGATAGGACCGGTTGAATACATTTTTTATGACTCAGATTAGGTTAACGTTTTTTTAAAAAAAAATAGGCTTTTGTAAACCAACCATTTATTAAAAATACTAAGTATTTAAAGAGTATTTAAGTATTTAGGTCTTAAGCTTATAATTTAACATTTTATTTTTATTTAATTATGTAGATGTTTTTTCAAATATATCCATAGTAGGTATCATGTATTTGGCAATTATTTTCTCATTAAAATCAAATATATTTTGTATTTTAATACAATTTCTAAAGTAAATTAGTAGATTTTTTCGATCCCCGATTTAGTCTTACACTCTTATTATTGTTTATGTTTTAAAATGCAGTTTTTGGCCGACGATCACTTTAGAAAACCAAACAAATCTTTGGGTAGAAACTCTGGTGTGAATCAGGGAATGTCCATTTTCACCTTACAGACATACTTCACGAAAGTCAACAAGAGGATTTGTAGACCAGGGCTGTCAGACCAGGACAGCGAGCCTTCAGGGGGGTCCCGTTGGGCAGCGACGACAGCTCAGTGTACCTACTAAAATGTACGACCGACCGCGGTTCAGCCGGCAGTAGGTACCCTCTCGACGGAACAAGAGGAAGAGCAGCCACAGCAGGAACAGGATCAGGAGCAGCTATAGAGGACAAGTTTGAAAATCAGACTTTTCCAAAGGACCACAACCGGCGGAAATGCTTCCGCGTTCACTAGTTAGGTCTGTGGGTATAGACAATCTGTGGCCGGGTGGTTTGAGCTAGAAAGCTTGGCCGCAGACCAAGGTATGCCCAGTGCATCGAACACGGAGATGGTGACTGCTGGAGGAACTCTGGACTTATATTACATTTTCAAGCTCTATTTCAAAAAAAAAAAATGTAATCGACCTTAGTTTAAAAAAAAACTAATAATAATTGAAAATTTCATAGCCTAACTTTACTTTTTACCTAATTCTCCCTAAAAGGTGACGACAGACACAAAAAAAGTTAATTAAAAAAACACATCATTTTAAAATCAATACATTCATCTCTCCGCCTATAGGTAGGTAATCAAAAATTTCATATTATGCCTATAAATAGCTCGACAGGAGTCAAAATATTTTTTAAATGTTATTGTGTTTAGGTAGGTAGGTATAGAAAATGCTATTTTGAACGGTCGGTGAAAATTTCGTGTATCTGCGGTAATTTTTTTGTAAGTTTATTGCAGTTTAGCTTCCACCCAAGTTTTTAAAAATTTTTTTTAAAACATGTATTTCAATGAATTTTTCAGTTCAATTTTCTTTACATGTCTATTTAATAGTTAATAAACTATGTATGGGGGGATGAGGTGACCGAGTGGTCTGACGCGTCCGCTGCGACGCAGCCGGTCGCTGTTCGATCCTCGGCTACCGGGCGGCATTTTTCTCCGGACAAGTCGCGGTGACCGGAGAACAAGTGCTGCCATCCCCCACCCCCGGGGCATGGCAGAAACCTACGGGTGCCCCATTCGAAATTCTGCCAAAAACAAACACACACGTGTTCCCCCCTACCGTCCCAAAATATACAATACAAACAAACCTACAATACAAATCCTACTACAGCTAATGGCCTCAGTTGAAGCTTAAGATCAATAATAAAAAAAAAAAAAACTATGTATGATGGTGAAATCATTGGACGATCATATGGTCGCGGGCGGGGTCTACTTTTCTTATTTTACTATGGTTAGATTTACCTGTTAAGTTAGCCGGCTGCAGCCTGCTTTTAAAAACTATTGGAAATTTTAAATTTTTACCTTTTATCAAAAAAATAACACCGAGTTGAAACATGCACTTTTCCCCATCATCCTAAATTTTAACACGATAATTTATGAAACCAGCGTTCTTAGTTCTGATGTTCATAATTTATATTACACTAGCTGATCCGGTACACTTTGTTGCCCGTTAAAAATGACAACTCTATATGAGATTCGATGGTGATAATGCGAGCAGGCTATTATGTTTACCTGCTGTGGATTGCGGACCCGGCTTGATGAGTACTTTATATAAATAATATGTTTTATTTTTATTTTTATTGTGGACACAAGTGCAACTCAGCCACCTTGGTAGGCAATGTGTGAAAATTCAATTGTATGCACTATGCAGGCAACCAATAAATAAAAAAAAATATCAATATTTCTACTAAATTTATTTATATTTCTCCTATAACCAATAGCAACCGTATATAAACAAATATTTCCTGCGTAAATCTTAAAATCCCTGTTTGAGCAACTCCACGGGTCGGACCTATCTGGTCCAATTGTGAATCTAAACCATCCAGGGCGCCACCCAAACGCAAGCAAAAAAATTCATTCAAATCGGTAAAGCCATTTAGTTCAGTGACATACACACATATAGTAGAATTAAATATTTATTAAGAGATAGATGATTATGATAGTTGACCCAGAAAAAAATCCAGGGGCAATAGCCCCCTACGCAAGTCCTAGGATATATTTAAATTATTCAGTTTAATTTAATCATTAAATAAACAGCTTTAACCTACAGCAGTTACAAAATCTTTCCATGCGAAAGCGTGGACATGGGCGATACTGATAGATCAAATTCCAACCCGCCGTAGTGTGAATAGACTGCTGCACCGTGGCAATGGCGTCAAATTTAAAAATATTTTTAATTTTTTGAAGGACATTTGCCACACAGCCCCTGATTTAAATTTTAAACAAAATGTTAGAAAGACGCAGGTCTTATTTTCATTTATTCGAAATATTGATTAATTCTTTTCCTTATATATATATATTTCGTTTCAATTGACTGTAAAGACCAATTTTCTAAAAGAAATTATTGTTCTTAACACTGGTATACCAAGCATACTTCACTGCATACTTTACCCATCTGTAAAGGAAGGTAGGAAATAAATAAAAAAACAAGGTTTTTAATTTGGGTATGTGTTTTATTTGTTTTTAATTTTTCGTTTTTTTTTTTGTTTAAATTGTTTTTGTCGATCATATTTTTATTGCTCAATTCTTTTTTATTGTTTTATTTTTTTAAACATGTTTTCACTTTTATTGCACGAATCTTTTCTTTGGTTATGTTCTTCTTATTTTTAAACAAATGTATTTTTCAGATTCACATTATCTTTTATACATATTTGACATTTTTTAAAGCTATAAATAAACCTACATAAAAATATGTAGTACAATATTTACATAAAAAACACAAGTCGTTTCAAATTTAGAAAAATAGTGAGTTAAAATAATTTAAAATTATCTAGGTATAATAAAACTTATAGCTAGGCACATATGAACTTTTCAAACCTTAAGATCTAATATAATGGATAGTATATTATTCTAGAATAGAACATTCAATATTAATTTGAAACATACAATGTATCTAGATAGAATAATATAAAATGAATAATTTCACAATTCATTGCACAGTCATATGAAGTACATAATATTTTTTTATTTCCAATTAGTTATTACAGGCTATAATTATAAATATTAAATCAATCCAATGTTCAATCAATAGTAAAAACTTAAGCTAATACATTCCCAATAGCCCATTAAAGGCTATGCAATTAATGTTGGGATGTATGTACAAAAGAAATCATTTTTCATTTTAAAAAGCCTTTTGTAAAACTTCTTAATTTTTTAAATATTGATTGTTCCCACCGATGAACTGTAGCGATGGATTTATAGTGAACGTCAGTAAGGATAATACATTGCTCTTCTGGAATAACCACCTCTGTAAACAATTTTATAATATTTAACATTTCACATTTGGATGTGAATTTTTAAAGTGTATACCTTGGTCTACGCGAAGGTCTGTAACCGCCATAAAATGATGATTGTGCACCACCACGTGACATTGGGCGACCTCGGAACATAGCTCTACCCCTAGACGCTACTGGACGATTTGTAGTGCTTATCCCAGGTTTATTAGTTCTTTTTGGATTAACCTGTAAAAGTCAAAGGATTTATGAAAATTACATCTCAATAAATTGAATTATGTTTATCTTACTTTAATTTGACGACCTCTAAATAAAGAATCATCCATCGCCATGGCTGTGTTAACAGAATCCATGTCGGCAAACTCAATATATGCAAATCCTTTTGGATGACCATCAAATTTGTTACACAATATGGTAACTCGATTTATTGAGCCACAGCCATGGAAATGAGTTTCCAATTCTTCTGCCGTTGCTGCATAATCGACCTACAATTTTAAAAAGAACCACATTTTGGTGTAAAATATTCAACTACTCTACCATTAAGGATAGCAAGGGATATAGGTACTTACATTACCAACATAAACAGATCTAGCATCAGCTTCAGCCTTTTCCTGTTCAGACAAATTATAAGTCGCACCTAAAAAATAAGTATTAATCTTTAAATATATACAATTTTAAATAAGAATATATATATATATGTATTATGTATTATTATTATGTATTATTTAATGATTTAATTTTAATGATATTATGTGAAGTATAAGTATTTAGTAAGATCATAATATATAACGACCATTTTCTATCCAAAAAAAATAGACGTCACCTATTTTTAACCATTACTGTTCTTAATATAGTGTCATGTAGATTTAGTAAGTGATAATTTTAACATTATTATTAGTATCACATGTGGAGATCTACTATATTCATGTTCCTCAAAGTTGTAAAATAAAACTGCCAAAAAGACTATTTTATAGAGCTAATGAGGTTAATTAATATTATCTTTACAAACATATTTTAACCCAACACATGGCATTGTACTTTAAAATTAATTTTAAATTTTTTAAACCAGGTGAAAAAATGTAGTTGAATAAATTATGACAAGAATTTATTTAGTATTTGTTAACTTAACATTTTAGGTGTAGGGTAGATTTAGTAAGTGATTGCTTAGAAATAATAACTTGCAGCACATGTGGAGATCTACTTTAATTTATTGTTCTCAAAATAGGTATAATAAAATAGCTACTTAACTATTTTAAAGAGCTTTTGAGGTAAATTAAGTTTTTTTAACTTAACGTCAATATTGCAAAGTTCTTGAAATACAATAACAAGAATCAAATACTTACTTTTAGTTTAGTTTTAACGAACATTTTTAGAAAAACTTTTTTTTACTAAATAACTTAAAATATGGAAAATAATTATTACATTTCTGCTCAATTAGCATAGGTACTTAGAATGAGATACAACCGAAATCAGAAATTGTACATTGATTCATATTATATCATAGGAACAAGACCGTTTATTCATCATGTTAGCATTAACTACACATATAACCATTTTATACAGTTTATTTAACATGACCAAAATCAGAAAGTGTACATTGATTCATATTACATCATAGGAACAAGACCATTAATTCATCACGTTGGCATTTAACAAAATTCATTAACATCCAAAGGTTATATATGTAGAATAATTTTGTTTAAATAAGATCAAGTTCAGATTATTAGTAGTAATCATAAATTATCATACGAACGAGACTAGAATTCATCATTAATTGATCATTAATAATTAATGTAACTATAAATATTAAAATGTACAACCTGCATTTTTATATACAAATATAAATTGTTGTTATGAAACAAATATAAAACATTTTTTTTGTTGAGTAAATTTAGTAAGTGTTTAATAAAACGTTTGATTATATACACATGTGGAGATTTACTACATTAATATTCCTCAAATAATTTGAATAAAATAGCTAACAAACTATTTTAAAGAGCTTTTGAGGTATTTTTAAATGTATGGAAAAAATATTTTTGCAATAATTAAGTGGATTAATGGTCATACACGTGGCCAATAACTTATGACACAGATGTAGAGATCTACACAAATTAAATTCTTTATAGCATATAAATATAAAAGTCTCACGTAACACCCATAAAGATACTATAAATTCGCAGTTAGGTACACTAAGCAAATTAATTCTCTGAAAAAGTAAATCGGTAGTAATAAAAATTGTGTCATGAATACAACTATACATTTATACTTGTAAATTGTTGAGCAGATTTAGTAAGTGTTAATAAAATGTATTATTTGTAAACACATGTGGAGATCTGCTCAGTTTTGTACCTCAAAATTAAAAAGCAAAACAGCTATTAAGCAATAGTGCAGAGCTTTTTGAGGATAAAATTGTTTATACGTTTTTCAAGTAAAAGAGGTTTACATTAATATCTTAGGATTGTGTATAACACTTAATAGCTAACACACTTGATCAACCAGTAAGATTAAAAGCTTAATACAATTCTGAATACCTAAAGACAGTTATTGATTGGCAGATTAATGCATAAATTGTAGACAAATTTTTTGTTGCTACACAATAACCATGGAAACAACTGCCTACTATTTGTTAAGGAATCATTTAATAACGAAATTGTCTGTAACGCAATAGAAATAAATAAAAATTCAACATACTTGTTTTTGAGCAATTTGGAGAAGACAGAACTGGAGTGTTTGACATTTCTTGATCTACTTGTGATTGCAATTTTTTTAACTTTTCAGCTTCTTCTTCCATTTCTCGTACGCGTGCTCTAATTACTTCTAAGTCCTAAAAGTACAATTATAATATGTTAGAATACAGTTAGAGTGAGATGCATTATGAAAGAAAACGAAACTTACAGAATCTGCTGACGCTTGAGAATCGACATTATTCGATTGACCGTTTTCAATCAAATCAAAAGACATGCTGTTTTCTATACTAATTTGTGTGTTATGTTCTTCAGACGATAAATCGATACCGCCTTCCAACAATTGGTCGTCTAAGTCTGCCATGGTTGATTGACTAAAAAAAAAAGACCATTGATCAGGTGTTATTTGTGAAAGGTACAAAAAAACAGCATCAAGTAAATAATCGTCGATGACATTATTACAAAAAACAATTACTGACGAGAAAAAACCTAAATAACCTAAAATTCTTAAATGGCCAAATGGGTAAGCCACGACCACCGGTAAAATTTTGAGTTTTCAGTGTTAAATGCAAACGAATTCCCCAGTGAACCGAACGGCAACAAACATGATATCGATTAGGTCGTCGTAATGGTTTCGATACTCATTAAGAGTGAGAAAAAAATGCAACACAAACTTGAGATAAGGATGTGTCGACCAAACGGAATTACCGTTAGAAAACCCAGAAACAAACGAAGGTTGACGGGCAAACACCTACCTAGGGGGCGGCAGATCGAGACGAGATCGTGTGTCGTATTTGCGCGTCCACGGGTCTTGACCAAAACTCAAAATTACGTGACGACTACAGAAAAACGTTCAATCGCCGTCGTCATCGTCGCCGTCGCGACAAGGGGAGGGGGCGCCGGGAAGGGCTCGAAAAAAAGGCTCGTAGAACCGTACCGCGGCACCCCACCGTACGGATCGGCGGTGGTCGAAAGCTGCAAATGGCCGCCGTCCCTGGTCACTGGTGGCGAGCGGCTCGCCAGTCATCCCGAGAACCGCGTCAAGTCGACCACCGTACCGGTGGACGGGCGGATGGGCGGACGGGTGCATGGTAATTAGGGTGGGCCGGGTACTTACGCGGCGTCCGGTCCGGATTGAAACGGATGAAAAATTCTACTCGGCGGTGCGGTCGTCTACGGGGCGAAACACTCGTCGTTACGGGACGCGGTGGACGTCTGCCGGCAAACAAATCCGGGGGGGAAAAAAAACTCAGTCACTATAGGCAGTAGGCACTAACGCACACACGCCACACACACACACAGGCAGACGAATCGTAACGTAACGACTATGTTGTACACTTGTAACGAGTGACGACGTCACGGCGAGTAAAATAACAGCTACGACACTATCAACCGCGACACCGGACGTAAAAAACAGTTGTGTGTACCGAAAACCGAAATATTGTGTACAGTCGTTGGGAATTGCAGAAGTTACACACACACAAACACACGAACGCGCGCGCACGTTTACGCTATAGCATTTATCACAGGTCCGCAGAGCAGTGGTTCTCAACCTTTTTTCGTTCGCGGCACACTTGGATGTCTTACAAGAATATCCCGGGGCACTCTACACCAAAATACAGTCCATGTCATTGAAGCGCACAAAAAAATAGATTACCCATTACTTCAGTCTGTGCTATGACTAGCGACTAGTGAATACTGAAAAGTGTGTCGCGGGACAGTTCATGACCCGGTTTAGTGCTTAAGAACCACTGCCGCAGTCCATAGAGTATACAACTACAACAATGCAGCAGCTGCAGCTGCAGCCGCCAGCCGTATCGGTTGTTGTTACTTTGTTAGTTGTATTAGCAGGACAGGACGTCTATGCCTCTATGGTTTATCGAATGTGTTTAGTTGTAGTTTCCAAAAGCCAGTACGACCAACTAAATACTCTTTCTGGTTGGATCATTCGATAAACTATTAATTATATAGTGACGACGTTTCGTTTTAATAAAAAAAGTAAATACTATAGTGTATGTCGCTCCGACAATATGGGCCACACAAATTATAAGCCATAACTTTTATAATTATGTCACGATAAGGTTGCCGCAGAACACCATGCGGTTAGTTATTGTCGCTGAGACGAATTTTGTTTCTCGAATTCAAACCACACGGCTATGGTACAAAATACGCACATACGGTAGCTGCTGATATCATGGCCAAATAGTAATTTTAGCCATGGCTGATATGACCATAAAATTGGACAAAATCGAAAACAGGTAGGTCATAAGTGTTTCCATGGGCAACTTTTTGATACCCCTCCCCCCCTCCCCCGGGACGACGTCTATTAGCTGGGTCGCCGGAGCTTCGGTCGGGTAATATTTAAGGTGTCGATCAAAATACGAGGCGACTTGTCGCGACCAGAGAACAGAAAAATGTTATACGAGTGAGACGAGTAGCCGGACCACTACTCGTATCGTTGAGGGACGGGTACAGATTTCCCGATTTTGATAAGCGAAAAATTTGTTATGATATCTCGATATACCACAACTCGTACCAGAATATACCAGAGATCCAGCAGTGACACCACCAATAAGAAATAATTGACAGTGATGCCTTGTTAGCGGCACTCGTCGCTACGCTCCTCGGCGCCGTCGCTCCGCTCCGCAAATCGAAAATATCCCTCGACTTGCTATGCAACACCGTCCACCTCAAGTTGGTCACTGTGTAACCGATGTTATACCAAAGAACAACCACTCTTATCATTTCGGCCAAAAGCTTATCACTACCGCTATCAAAATCGGGAAATCTGTCCCGGCCCCTATCGTTGAAGTGATACCCTTGACAGTGTTTGCCTCGCTTTTTGTATCGTTTTCGCTTTAGAGAGACACACTGTGCGAGTTATCAATCTCTCTGTTATCGTGTGCCTCCAGAAGGCAGAAGCGCAATCCAAAATCCATAATAACAAAATAATAGTTAATATTATTATTAATAGCGAGTTTTTTTTTAATATTATTGTTTTGGTCGTTTTGTTTGGTGTGTCTGTGTGGGCTGGTGATGTTATGATTTCTATAATAAATGTCAACGTCTCATACTCTTATCTTATTCTTTTTTCAAACCACGGACATAATTAATCACCGACTGAATGCCGACGTTTAATCTCGTTCAATAAAATTAGAATATTAAGTAAACATAAGTGTTTTTTTTTTATTCTTCGCCCAAGGACTGTTTCCTTACTTCTTTTACCAATGACTTATTCATCTCTTCAACGTACTCCTAGAATGCAATATGCACTCCCTGCCCATTGTGACGCCTCGGATTAAGTCTTGGCCTTAGACTTGAACCAATAAATCTATAAAGGTATGCAACGTCAAAACTATTAACTTGCTAACCGACAAGTACTATTCTAAAGATGTAAATCTATTGTAAAATGCAAGTATTAATTTTTTTGTTTTGCCATATGCCCATACCTAGGTATTTCAAAATATTAAATTTGGGTATAGGTATTACTTATTTTATGATTTGTTATCTGTCTCTGAGTATAGTTTGTTAGAGTCCTATTACTTGAATTACACTAATTTTTTGGATAAACCTGAGTAAAATAATGTTAATGAGTCTGAACAATATTCAATAAATAGTAAGTTTTTGTTTAATTTCTTCATAATTTTTTTAATACACAATATAACTACTCGTCCAGTTTCTACTACCTAGTACCTAGTTTACGAATCACTTTACTAATTAGTTATCAATTGAACTAATTAATTACTGTTTACCTATAATAACTAAATAATTAAATAACATTTAGTAATTAGTTTGTTATTTATTTAAATTATATTACTCGTAGAGTTAAGGACAAATAATTGTCTCTTGTAATTTAATTGTAAGGCAATAGGGCATAATGCCTTAAACTTAAATGCCAAATCTTTGACCCACGAATACTTAGCCAGTTGGTACTTAAATGTCTTGTGTATTTTAAACATTATTTTAATGATTAATTTTTCTTTTTCAAGCAAAAATGTTAGCATCTTGTTCGATATGTGGAGATTGTTTCACTGGAATTCATCCTGAATCAGTTCATACAACACCGTGTGGCCATGTCTTCCACTACGAATGTCTCATGACATGGATTCAAAGGTATTACTAAATTTATTATTATTATTATTACTAAAGTTCAACGATTCTGTGAGAAGCTTATTATAATTTTATTTTTAGGAGTATTCTAGATACCAATCTACTATTTTTGGTATTTATTTTTCAGCTTAAGGTACCATATGCTTTGGCACGCAGAGGGGGAAATACTTTAGAGGAGCTTTTTTAAAATTTAATTTAAATAGTGTATAGGATGATAAATTACTGTACCTACAACAAATTGAAAGGGCATTATAATTATAAAAAGGTCTTTATTATATAAAATCCTGTTAAACCAAGTTAAGTTAACAAAATATACTTACCTTCCCTCTTAGTCAAATTTCTGTGGGTGTCTATGACCATATTATGATATTGATTTGCAGCATATTATTACTAATAACTATAAGTATATTGTTATTGTGTATAAAATAATGATTTCCAGTAGTATGTTTAATATTTCTTCTTAAAATTGTAGAACTATTAAGTAGTATAAACTATTGTTGTATTTCTATAATTTCAAGATCCCAAACATGTCCACACTGCCGGTCAAAAGTAACCGAAAAGCAAATTATCAAATTATATTTTCACAACAATTCAAATTTAAGTATAAAAGAAGACATATCTTCACTGACACACCAAGTGCAATCACTTACGTATGAAAATACTCTGAAGAATGAAGAAATAAAAAATTTGTTGATTATAACCAAAAAAGAAAAAGAACAACTGATGTCATTAAAGTAAAGAAAAATGGTTAATTTATACTTTTTGTATATACTATATTCATTATATTAACACTTTACAGGAAACATGTTAAAGATGTGGAAGACAAAATACGAGGCCATCAAACATTTGTATCTAGCTTACAAGAAAATATCCGTTTTCTTAAATCTGAATGCAAAAAATCTACTTGCTATAAACTTGAAGCTGAAGAATTAAAAAAAGAATTGGAAAAATACCAATCGTAAGACTTTCTTTTATCAAAAAAAAAAATTCTAATTTGCGTAATATTCAAATTAAATTTCAGAATAAACAATATATTATATGGAACAGCTGCAGATTCTCAAGAAGCTGTATCTTTGTTAAAAAAAAAGACTGATATTCAAACTTTATGTTTACTTATAACCTCTTTTAAAAAGTATGATATATTATAATTATAAAATATTGTGCATTATGTAATAACTCAACAATTGTTTTGTAGAGAAATTCAAACTTTAAAAGAGAGCAATTTAGATTTGGAAACCAAGTTTTCACAACGTGTTACTAAATACATGGAACTTAAAAGACATTTGTGCAATGTAAATTCAAAAGAATCCATGAATACTCGAGTAATGGAGTATGTAATTTGTTGAAGTATTTTTATCTTATGATTAATTGTTAGTTTTAAATTTTAAAACAATATATTTAAGGTAACAAATGTGTTATTATAATTCTTACTTAAGAATTAGATAAGTGTGTACATTATATTTTTTGAATACATTATAATACATCAACAGTGTCTAAAAATGTATCTTTCAGAAAACTGAAATCAGAAATTACTGATCTTGAAGCAGAAATTGTAAGACTGCAAAAGAAATGTGAAAATTTAGAATCGTTGGTTCAATCAAATGATAATACTCCAAGAAGAGCTGAATTACGTAAAAGAATAATACACGAAAGTCCAGCTCCTGAGTTATCCATTACTCCAAGTTTAGAAAAAGTACATAAAGTGATATCTACTATTTATTTAAGTGAACTCAATAATTAAATATATTAAAATATAAAATTTCAATAGAACATTATTTTTAATATTATGAAAAAATTAGTGGTGTTGATTATATTAATAGCATTGATTCCATGTTGATTGAATTGTCAATCCTTTAAAATATAGTAATTGAATAACTCTTTTTTAGGGTATAAAAACAGTTATATACTCTCCAGAAAATTCACTTTCTTCTATGGTTCAACCTAAAGGACAATTAAAGCCACATAGTTTAAACAACAAAACAGAACAATCATCATCACAATGTGTAAATATATATTTATTAATTTTGAAATACTAAACACATTTTCAAATGTATTTCTTGATTATTAATTATTATATTTTTCTTAAGGTCAACACATTTATGCCTAAAAGTCCTCGGCGACCAATTGGATTTATGAGACCACCTTTAACTACTAAATCGGTAAGTGCAAATTATGTATCAAAATCTATTGTTTTTTCAAGTAGTTCAGATGAAGAAATGTATGATGGTCTTGGTGGTCGTTCGAAACCAGATGTGTACCCTAGTCGACAAAAACCAGTAACTAAAAAGCGAAAATTAGTTTCTAATTTCAAAAAAAAACCACCACCATCAAATGGTAATTCAACTTTGGATAGTTTTTTATCTGCTGAAATTCTTTAATTATGTATCTCTTACTAAAAAAAACAATTTATGTAAGTGTAATTTTTTATAGTATTTATTTGACAATATTAAATTATGTTTAAATAACAATATTAGAATTCTTTAAAGTACAATAATAATTTTTTTTTTATTGGTGTATCTCTTTTTTTTAAATTAATGATTTACAGTTTGTTGATAAATCATAATTAAATTTAAATATATATACATAAATTGCTCATTACTAATACAAATATTATTGTTGACTTAATAATATTGCATTTTGAACACACTTTGGTGTTTGGCTCCTATGAAAATAAAATCAATTGTTAAAAAAATTTCAAAAATATTTGTATCATGAATAAATAATTAAATAATGTATTGAGATTTAATTAGTTGCAAATATATTACCTCTGGATGACTATTATAACATCCTCCAAGTTTGCGTCTATAAAAAAAGTTAAGATTCAGTTTGTTGCAACTATGATCTGTGATTATACCTGATGTGTTTTTATACTCCACTTTAACTGGATTAACACTCAGATGACTTTGACTGCTTTCTGCATTTTTTACAACAACGAGCAGTAAGTTTGAATGGGCTATACGTTTGACAAAAAATGGCCTAAAAAAATGTTTAGATATATAATGTTAAAGTATTAAGCCTTCTCCCCCTTATTTGCTCCTATGTTAAACTGAAATGGTCACAGAACATGATCGTAAGTTTGATTCTAATGTTATTATATATTCATACCATCTCAGTTTTGTGAATCTAACCTTATAGTTGATCCAGCTGGCGGTGGAGCATCAAATCCTTCAGCACTAAGGTGTTCGTGTTGCAGCATAAACAAATCGGCTTTCTTATCGCAGGCTTTATTGATAATTTTAAATTTGTCTTGGTTTTTATTGGTCAACACATCATCTCCATACTCTAATAGACAATAAATATAAGACGGGTTAAAATATTCTACATTATCTGCAAGTCCAATGATTACCTTCATTAATTGACCATACATGGACCAAATTGCCTTCGACTAATAACCACAATAAATTCACCAAGAACATTTTAAGACTCGTATACACTATGTAAAATGGCTATAAAAATAGTATTAAATATTAAAATTATTTAAAGATTAGTTTATTTTAAAATCTTAATAATATTTATAAATTAAAGTATTAAATTCAGTTTAGTGCTTAATATTTTATAGATGAAACAATTTGTAACAGGGCAGGGGCTATGAAGCAACTGTATTATCTTCTAGGCTATGAATTATATTTATAATATATGTTGATTACATTTTCCAACTCTTGAAAATTGTATATAGTGCAGCAAAGTGACAAAGTGCATAAAATATTTATTTTAATAAGTCTTAACATTTAAATTATTTAAGTTCTGAACATAATTAGTTCTGTAATCAATATAGGTAGGAAATTTGATATTATTATCTATTTTGTCATGAAATATATAAACTAACTTGGATTGTTTTTGCATGATGATAATATGATACACTTTAACTGAATTTAATATTAGTATTGAAATTGAATTGAATTTAAATTACTGTTAACAAGAAGGATGATGCACTTGAGGCTGGTATTCTTTCTTTGCACAAAGCTTGGTAGTCGAACATAGGTATACGTCTAAAGATTTTTTTTGATATCATTGTCTCCATTATAACTCCAGTACTCTTTAATTCGGTTTGCGCAAAAAACCGGCCAGTATCCGCTGGAATTTCTGATAGTACAACGTATCCATTTTCATCAATTATATAACAATCAACGTGGTCAGATGTGCATGGTAAACAACTTGAACACTAAAAATCATTAAAAGTTAATAAAAATAATTCAATGAAAGGTAATTCAAAATAAATTGCTAACATTTTCATTAGTTTGCGTAATTTCCATAAAGCGATCATAAAATTTCTTGTGCAACATTTCATATCCAACTACTGACCCTGGTGCTTCATTATTTTCATCCTCAACAAATATTGCATGACTGGCAGTGATTTTTAACTTATCATTTTCGCCTATTCATAACACACAAATGCTGAAGTTGAAATATTAATTTTATCAAAATATCCACACAAAACTGAATACCAGAATTAAAAGGCACTGAAAATACAAATGCTTGCGGGTTAAGATTACGATATAGTACTGGACGCTTATACCAAACTTCTTCAACCGATCGGTTATGAACATCTCCAAACTGTCTAAATTTAAATTCATACAACTGTTAATTTTTTTTTTAACAAATATTATTAAAAATAATAATAATAGTAATGTTAATTCTGTATGTTGTACATACAATTCACCTTCAGCCAGATCAAGTATATGTTGCCATCTACTCAACCCTCCTTGGGTTGCCAAAAATCTGACACTAACATTATATTGGTTTACATAACGTTTTCTGCAGATCAAATGATTCATTTTAGATTATTAAATTATTAATTCTGAATACAAAAACAATACATATTTTTAAAACTCACTCAAATTCTGAAGTAGGGTTCCAAGTTGAATTGTATAATGCATGTGTTATTTTTGCATCAAAAAATAAAAGTTGCATTAATTCTTTATCACCTGAAATAGTGAAATTTAAACCAAAATTAGAGAAAAAAACTATATTTCGAGTTAATTTTAGATTAACTTACAGTAGAATTCATCTATGTCAATTGGTTTCCTGTCGCATTCCCCTATATACAATAAAATTAAATCAATCACAGGTATTTTATATTATAATATAGTTGTGCTTACGTCTATCAAAATCATCCATTGAAATATTTTCAAAATTTGAAGCTGGATATTGCTCTCTCCATTCCCAATCTGGAGAAAATATTTTTTCCATAAAATGAAGCAATTTTTCTTCGGGATTTTCAAATTTTCGCTCAGATGAATGAAAATAATCACAATACACCCTGAAATGTTTATACAGTAGAAATTTATAAACTATGTTTACGTATAATTGAAAACAACATAAAATATTGAATAATGGGTACCAGTTTGGATGAATTTTCCATTTATCTTGAAAATATTTATCAAATTGTTCATCTAAAACATAACACGTATCAATTAGATACTTTCTAACTATAAGTATATTTTCAAAAGTTTATAAAACATTGTATTTACTTTTTTCTATTGATTTATTAATTTCATCGCCAGCTTTAATCCAATTGTTACCATAAGAGGCAGGTAATACTAAACCAAGTGTAAAAGGGCCTTCTATTTTTGGGTCTAACGCAGTATAATGGTAATTACGGACTTCAGACCCAACTCTTCTCTAAATAAATATGTCCTTTAATTTATTCTTACCATCTAAAATCTATTTTTATAGTTTATTATTAATTATTATTACTATACCATATTGTCGTAGTGAAACTTAATGCTTAAATTTTCCATTGATCCACGCTTGTGATTTACAATTGCTTCCCGTAACTACTTGAGTAACAACATTCAAAATATATTACATGTTATCAAATTATTATTAATTTTACTTCATACTTGAACTATATCATGATGTGGCTGTCTTGGCTCTTCATCATTATCATCCAACATTTCCAATTCGGTTAGATCAATACTATTGTGATTATCCTTTAGAATACCATCTTCCTTTAAATCATATTTCGTTGAAGAATTAAATTAGAGCTAAAATAAAAATATCTTTATTGAATATTTTTACTTACGACAGGTCTCAGCTTTGGATGAAAAAGCACATATCCGTTATTTGTAACAACAAAAGCATATCCATTTACACCAATCTAAAAGTCGAAAACAAATTAAGTAGGTATATTAATTATTAATTTATAATTACTTTGACTCTAAATATGAATAAATATGTATACAACCAAAAATGTAAAAAAAATTAACAATCAATTTGAAATAAATACTAATTAAATAAGAGGATGCCACACAGTCAAAATGCTTCTATTCTTGTGACAAAAGTTTTGTTTTGTATCCCCATATCTGTATTCTATAGTATTTTTAATTCTATCCTTTACAATCTATAATTTTATTATTCGAGCAACTACTAAGTACTAACTATGATAATGAATAATGATATAGAACCCATTAAAAAATTAGCTTTCTAATGATCATTTTTATGTATATAATTTATAATGTTATGCTTACTTTGTAAGGAAGTGTTAGTTTTTCAAATTCAGCAATTGGTACATCAGTTCCAGCAACACCGAGCAAATCTCCTTTGATTCTAGTCTTAAATAAAATATATAATAATTTTTAAAAATAAAAACGTATTTATTGTAACTACTAAGTTTTTTCTACTTAGGAAGTAGTATGACTGTTGAAAACTAAAAACCTAGTTATTACCATGTACAATGTACTACAGCCTAGAACTTAATAATAAAAACAAATAAATGAAACCTACCTTAATATTTTCATCCGTTTTTTTATTAAATATTGGTATGGAAATTGCAGTCATTGGTCTGTATTCTTGATAATTTCCATCTTCATCTTGACTCTGTACAACAGTGTTCAAATATTATTTGGTGTTTAATGAAATAAAAATATAAGCCGATATTACAGCAAAATGGTAAAAACTTTGGGTTTCACGGTAGGCACAAATTCTATAGGTGTATTTAATATTTATATACATTATGAATATTAAAATACATAATACAATTAATGGTTGTAGTTATTTTTAGTTATTATTATGTTTTTATGTCAGAGGATTGGAACAAACGAGTCTAATATTTAGGATTTTGGGTTGGATAGACACTGGTACACACGAGTTACCTCTGAGTTCAATATCAAATATTTAGAATCCATTTTATGTTGGTTAGGGAATTGTTTTTGTTCATTCAAATTAGCAGCGAGATCACTCATCTGCTTATCAAAACCCATTGAATTTTGTAATGCACTTGTTACATATGGGTCCTAACAAAATGCTCTTAACATTAATTATGGCTATGAACTGGAACCTAAGTAATGCAGCTAATAACTTATGTTAGGTACACAAATGTTTCCACTTACAGAAATGTCCATAAATGTATGAGACCATGTAACAGGATGTTTTTCAGCTTGTAATACTAAGGGTCTTGCTAAAACAGCTATGTATTTCAATACGCTTTCAAGTACTTCATCTTTTGAATGTACGTGTGCAAAGCTACCTGTAAACATAAAATAATCAATATTATTCAAGTATTAGACCCATTTTGTATAAACGCTACTCTATTATAAGTTATAACTAATAAGTGTAATTAAATTAAGATTAAGTTAATAATATATTAATATAATGACATAATGTTAACACAAACCTCTATTTTCACAAGCGAGTCGCTCAAGTTCGGGTGGTGTAGTAATATCACGACCCATCATGTAGGTGAATATTCGGACTGGTATGTTCGTAAATTTATTATCATCAATGCGATTGTACTTTTGTACAACA